AAATACTGTTTTCTTGTTTTATCTCAAAAGTTCCAACAATTGGTATCAAGAGCCCTGTTCTTACGGGACCTATAAAATGGATTCTGAAACCAGTTTTTCTCAAGCAGCTCTTCCAGTCTTCAATGGGGAAAACTATGATCTTTGGGCTGTCAAAATGGAGGCTTACCTAGAGGCTTTGGATCTTTGGGAGGCTGTAGAAGATGATTATGAAGTCCTTCCACTGCCAGACAATCCCACCATGGCCCAGATCAAGAATCACAAGGAGAAAAAAACCCGCAAAGCAAAGGCAAAATCATGTCTTTTTGCTGGTATCTCTACAACCATTTTTACTAGGGTCATGACTCTCAAATCGGCCAAATCAATTTGGGACTATCTAAAGGCAAAATACGCTGGAGATGAAAGAATTCGAAGCATGCAGGTGCTTAACTTAATGAGGGAATTTGAGCTTCAAAGGATGAAAGAGTCTGACACCATCAAGGAATACTCAGACAAATTGTTGGGCATTGCCAACAAGATAAAGCTACTAGGCAGTAACTTTGCAGACACCAGAATTGTTGAAAAAATTCTGGTAACCGTGCCAGAGAAGTATGAAGCATCTATTGCTTCGTTGGAGAACACAAAGGATCTGTCCAAAATTACTTTTGCAGAAGTAATACATGCTCTGCAAGCTCAGGAGCAGCGAAGGTTGATGAGGGAAGATCATGCTGTTGAAGGTGCTCTTCTAGCCAAGAGCCAACAAACTAAAAACTACAAGAAGAATTATCTAGGCAGCAGTCAGAGTAATGCAACTAATTACAAAGGAAAGGGTGAAAAGAAAAGCTACCCACCTTGTTAGCATTGTGGCAAAATGGGTCATCCTCCATTCAGATGTTGGCAGAGACCCGATGCTAAATGCACCATATGCAACCAAATGGGGCATGAAGCAGTCATATGCAAGAGCAAAAACCAGCAGCAAGAAGAAGAAGCTAAGGTTGCTGATCAAGAGGAGGAGGAAGACAAACTTTTTGTGGCCACGTGTTTTGCAAGCTATGAAGAAAGTGAGAGTTGGCTCATTGACAGTGGCTGCACAAATCACATGACCTATGACAGGGAGCTTTTCAAAGATTTAAAGCCAACCAACATCACCAAAGTCAGAATAGGCAATGGTGATTATATTTCAGTCAAAGGAAAGGGGACTGTTGCAATAACAAGTTGCTCAGGTACAAAGTTTATCCCTGATGTCCTTTTTGTACCTGAAATCCAACAAAATCTGTTGAGTGTTGGTCAATTGATTGAAAGAGGCTTCAAAGTTGTTTTTGAAGACAATTTTTGCTTGATTAGAGATGCAGCTAGTCAGGATATGTTTAAAGTTAAAATGAAAGGGAAAAGTTTTGCTCTAAATCCATTGGAGGAAGAGCAAGCTGCTTTTTCAATCAAAGAAAACATCACAGAAGTTTGGCACAAAAGGCTCGGGCATTTTCACCACCAAGGGTTGCTGCAAATGAAGTCCAAAGGGATGGCTGCTGATTTTCCAGAACTTGATGATCATATACCAACATGCAAGGTCTGTCTATTTGGAAAGCAAAAAAGAAAGCCATTTCCGAAGACAGCAACAAGAGTCACTTGTAAGCTGCAGTTAGTCCACACAGATATAGCTGGACCTCAAAGAACTCCTTCATTAGCAGGTAATCGATATTATGCTGCCTTTATTGATGATTTCACAAGAATGTGTTGGATTTTTTTCTTAAAATTCAAGTCAGAAGTGGCTGAAGCATTTTGGAAGTTCAAAAAGTTAGTGGAGAATCAAAGTGGCAAGCAAATTCAGATTCTAAGATCTGATAATGGCAAGGAGTATACCTCAGAAAAATTCAATCAGTTTTGTGAGGAAGCTGGCATTGAGCATCAGTTAACCACTCCCTATACTCCACAACAAAATGGGGTGAGTGAAAGGAGAAACAAATACATCCTAGAGATGACTAGATGCATGTTGCATGAAAAAAATCTACCCAAGAAATTTTGGGCAGAAGCAGCTCACACGGCTGTTTTCTTGCAAAACAGACTTCTCTCAAAAGCTGTCAAGGATCAGACACCATATGAGGCTTGGTATGGCTATAAACCATCTTTCAATTTTCTCAAAATTTTTGGATGTTTGTGTTTTACTCATGTTCCTCAAAGCAAGCGTGACAAGCTTGATAAAAGAGCATCACCAGGCATCTTTATAGGCTACAGCACTGTCAGCAAAGCCTATAAAATCTTTCAGCCACAAACAGGAAGTATTGTTGTTAGCAGAGATGTCCACTTCGTAGAAGATGAAGAGTGGAACTGGGATGAGGTAAAGAAGAAGGATCCAACTGTGACAGATCTACAGTTTCAGCCTTTTGCTTCAACAACTGAAGAAGAGGATTGGCCGAATGAACTGATAGATGAGGTTCCTGCAAGAGGTACTAGACTACTCTCTGATATCTATGAAAGGTGCAATATTGTTGTATGTGAGCCTGCAGATTTTGGAGCAGCAGAGAAAGATCAAAATTGGATGGCTGCAATGAAGGAGGAGTTGTCTATGATTGAGAAAAACAGAACATGGGAACTGATTGATCGACCTCAAGATAGGAAGGTAATTGGAGTCAAATGGGTGTTCAGAACCAAACTGAATGCTGATGGTTCTATCAACAAATATAAGGCAAGACTTGTTGTGAAAGGCTATGCTCAAATCTTCGGTGTGGATTACTCAGACACCTTCGCACCAGTTGCTCGTTTGGACACCATTAGAATTTTGCTTGCTGTAGCTGCTCAAAAGAACTGGAAAGTGTATCAACTTGATGTAAAATCAGCTTTTTTAAATGGTGTCTTACATGAAGAAATTTATGTTGAACAGCCTGAAGGTTTTGTGAAAAGTAAAGATAAGGACAAGGTTTACCTTCTCAAAAAGGCTCTTTATGGGTTGAAACAAGCTCCACGAGCTTGGTACAGCAAGATAGATGATCATTTGCTGAGCATTGGCTTTGAGAAAAGCTTGTCCGAAGCCACTCTTTATGTCAAACATCAGAGTAATGATGTTATGATAGTTTCACTTTATGTTGATGACCTTTTGATGACAGGAAATGATGCAAGGATGATCCAGGAATTCAAACAAGAAATGATGAAGGTTTTTGAGATGACTGATCTCGGGTTAATAAGCTTCTTTCTTGGAATGGAGATTAAGCAAGCTGAGTATGAAATCTTCATCTGCCAGAGGAAGTATGTCAAGGAGATTTTAAAGAAGTTTAAGTTTCAAGAATGCAAGGAAGTAAGCACTCCTATGAATCAAAAGGAGAAGCTATGTAAGGAAGATGGAGCTGATAAAATTGATGAGGGATACTTCAGAAGTTTGATTGGTTGCCTAATGTATCTAACAGCAACTCGACCTGACATATTGAATGCTGTAAGTATTTTATCTCGTTTTATGCATTGTCCTAGTGAAATACATCTCAAAGCTGTCACGAGAGTGATCAGATATGTCAAAGGCACTTGTAACTTTGGCATCAAATTCACAAGAAGCATAGAATTCAAGCTGGTTGGCTATTCAGACAGCGATTGGGGAGGTTCCATGGATGATATGAAGAGTACTTCAGGCTATTGTTTTACCTTGGGTTCTGGTTGTTTCTCTTGGAGTTCAAAAAAGCAAGAAATTGTAGCTCAATCTACGGCTGAAGCAGAATTTATAGCAGCAACTGCTGCTGTGAATCAAGCCATGTGGCTAAGGAAAATTTTATTTGATCTCAACTTGGAGCATAAAGAAAGCATCAAGATTCTTGTTGACAACCAAGCTGCTATTGCTATCTCTCACAATCCTGTGTTCCATGGAAAAACCAAGCACTTCAACATAAAGTTGTTTTTCTTAAGAGAAGTGCATAAAAAGGGACTTGTAACTTTGGTTTATTGTAAATCTGAAAACCAACAAGCAGACCTGCTTACAAAGCCACTCTCGGTCAGTAGGTTCGAGTTTCTAAGAGAGAAAATTGGAGTTTGCAGCTCCTAAAGCAAGGAGGAGTGTTAGGAAAATGCTTTAGGATCATGTCCCACGTTGTCTTTGAGTCAATATTGCTTTCCTAGTTTTAAGGTGTCAGTTAGGAAGTTTTATTTAATGCTTTGTTTTAGTTTTATTCACACAGCACATTTCTAGGATCATGATGTTAGTGGGTAGTTTCTTTTTTACTTCTATAAGTTGTAATGCTTCTGTTCATATTTTTTATGAAGCTTGCTATCTTTTCATTCAATACACGTATTTGTTCTCTGTAATACAAATACTGTTTTCTTGTTTTATCTCAAAAGTTCCAACAGATTCATTAGCCCTTAAATATGCAGAGATGGTGTATGCTGGAAGATGGTTTGATCCACTTCGCGAGTCCATGGATACCTTTATGCAGAAGATCACAGAGACCACAACAGGCTCAGTGACTTTGAAATTGTACAAAGGTTATGTTAGTGTGACAGGAAGGAAGAGTCCTTATAGCCTCTATAAGGAAGACCTTTCATCATTTGAGAGTGGTCAGATATATGATCATGCTGATGCTGCTGGGTTTATCCTTCTTTATGGTCTTCCAATGAGGGTCAGAGAAATGCTTGAGCAATGCATCTAAGTGTTCATTTCATCATATGTACTCAAAGTCTGCATGTTTTGGCTTCGTTGCATGCACGTGACAAGGTTTGTGGAACCTTTACTATTGTAATGCAGTGAATAACACGCACTTCGTGGTTTCCTTATTTCACCAATTGAAGTATGGGAATCATCATGTGCATAAATAAAGTGGATTGTTGCTGGGGATGCTTATCCGAATCTGAATAACACATACATATATATATATATATATATATATATATATATATATATATATATTAGTAACAAATAACACATATCTACTTATGGTCAATGAATGCTGCTCAGTGGTCAGAATGCATAAATATGTTCACAATGAAAAGAATTCATAGATAACTAAAGGTAACTTTATGATAATAATATACAAATTAACATACTTGCTAGGTGAAAATTGACTGAATTGGGGTATGCAGCCAATACTTTCCTACGGATAACAATCCTCTAAAACAAACTGTATGAGATCTCAACCACAAAAAATGTTTCACTTTATGTGAAGACAAAAAATAAAAATACAATTTAACAAATACAAACCATTTGATGGCAACTGTACCATCCTTCACTCTACTTAAAACTCTGGAGGATCTCAATCCCTTTGAGACCCTTCTAAGAATTTCAAAGGATGAAACGTTGAAATAGTTATCTTTGGGAGCAGGTTGAAGCACAACTCACAAGTCACGGTCACTGATGTAGTGGAGTATCAATTCAAATTCTCTGATCCCCATCAGCTGTTGCCTGAACTTGAGAAGCATACTGCAAGTTCCAAAGGACATCCTCTATGGATGGTCTGCTACAGGACTCAGGAGAAATACATTTGTTTGTTATGGAAATCACAATCAATAGTGATTCTCTAGAGCAAGTAGCTTGCACAACTGGGTCCACTATCTCTTTCCAACCATCTTGATTATTGAAAGATGCCTGTAAATTGGAGTGTCCTAATTTAACTACCTTAGTCAGTCAAAATTTATATATATATATATATATAAGTCGGGATTATTTTACATCAGTATAAGTTATACTTTTAATCTCGGCCATTGATCCCACTTACATTTGACGACTAATTTTTAAGTCATGTGAGTCATTGGATATAAGTTGATCAATGACCAAGAATGAGTGTATTCTTTCACCTGTGTAAGAATAATCTGTATGTTGTAGAGTAAATCTTAGCATATTAGATATTTCATGTAATCTGAACATCATTTATGCATACCATTACATTCTGCACAATTACTTCTCTTTTAGAAGATACTGAAGGTCCAACAAGTGCCTCGAGTAGTATGAATCCAAAGCTATAAACATCATCCTCTAAACTTTTCATTTGCCTGACATTACACATGTTGAGAAAATCATGACACAAGCAAACCTAAAGGAAGGATCCACAAAATATTTATCAACTACAAATGAAATTCTGATAAATGTAACCGAAGTTATCCAATCTGTTGTGTATCAAGAATTTTGAGATAGATCACATTGGATCTAGAAAAATCCCAAGAGCAATAAATTGAAAGAAGAAGAAACAAAGCCATATGATCTCAGGAATCCTTACCATGAATTAGGGCTTTCTCCTTTTACCTAGAAATCAGAAGACAAGTCATACTCATTGATGATAGACAATTACTGCAAGATCACCCAATAGAGTAAAAAAAAGAAGAAAAAAAGAAGGAAAGACACCATACCCCACATGCATCAGTTTCTTCTGAGATAATGGACAATCCATAGTCACTCAACTTTGCTATCCAATTCTCAGTAAGCAAGATATTGTTGGTCTTAATTCGATTTTTGAAGAAACCAGGTATTGTTCCAGTGTGTAGAAAGTGGACAGCCTTAGCAATACTAATTAGAACTGATAATCGCTCTGACCAATTAAAAACCTTGCCAGGACTATCTCCTGTACATACAATGTTAACACACTTAAATTTAGTGCACAATACAAATCACTTCACAAACTAAATTGGTGGAGACCAGAGTTTACTTTCAATGTTCTAATTTCTTTCAACTATATTACATTTCAATTTGAGGTTTTGAATGCGAGTTCAAAATGAGTTACCTACTCAAGCTTGTTTCATTCATTGAATGTACTCCAATGCAATTTCAAATATCCAACATTTTATTATCTACTCTGCTCAACTACCACACGGCATAGAATGAAAGCGAGCAATTAAAAAGCCATAATATTACAACCCTTTTTCTAGTATACATTCGTAAGCTGGATTACGTTAAGAGATCCACTTCAATAAAGGGGGTGATATTTTCATATATTTTTTTGTAAACTTTTGCACCTACTTGTCAGAATAATGGTATTCATGTGAAAACCACTACACTTATTAAAAAAATGTCCCAAGTTTGTGCTTGTACACATGGATAATCAAGACAAGACTGGGTGGATCCAACAAAAAGAGTTTCCTTAATGTAACTAAATATCTTCTATGACTACAATTGTTCTACTTTTAGATGATTGTATGATGAAGATATACGACCATTAATAAAGTGAAAGAAACATTGTACTCTTACCAGAGAGATAAGTCTGAAAACTTCCATTTGACACACATTCATAAATGAGAAAGACTTTTGTGGTAGTATTCTCTCCTAAAACACCATCAATGCAGTGCCCCAAGAGGGATACCAAATTGGGGTGACGGAGCTTTGCAAGCAAATTCAACCTCAGTTTGAAATTCCGAATTGAATACTTTTTTGACAAAGGTAAGCACCTTATTACAACCTGTATCCCACTGTCCAGTTTTCCTCTATAAAGCTGCAATATCAGAGATTAATTTTCAAGAGCATTTCATCTGATTAGAAGAAAGCATAGATTTTAGTGTCTTAAAATATTAAACCCCAATTGTCACATTCAATTAGGACAACAACTGCTTAAAAGGACAAATTACAGTACACAAGGCTCTTCAACTTAAGAGGATAGGGGTGAGAGTAAATCCTACATAGTTTTATCCTTGCATTTTAGCAAAGAATTAATTTCCCAGACTCGAACCCGTGACCTTTCAGTCCACAACTGCTTATTAATGTTTTTTGTTTTTGAAATGAGGCCATGTTTTGCATATTACCTTGCCATATATATTTTCACCCATAAAAGTAGAGTTGTCAAAGTTATTTGTGGCTTCCTTTAGCTCTTCCAAGGAATATGAGCGACACATGGGAAGGTCTTCCTTGCCTAACTTAGCAGCTTCAGAAACATATCCTGAAATCAGTAACCCAAAAAAAAAAAAAAAAAATTAAAAAATATGCAGTCAATGTTTACCATATATGCCTAGTAATGTACACATAATGTTCATCGTTTCACGGTAAAAGAAAACCTACTTGCATTTGTAATAAGCTCAGAGGAGAACCCTGCTGAGTAGCTATCTTGGACTGTTTTATGCAATAGGTGCTGCTCTGACATCCCTCGAGAGCAATACCTTTTACAAGTTATAACAATGCACAAAGCCAAAACCACGATGATCACAAGAATTCCCACAATGACACCAACAAAAACTCCAACTCTTTGAGGTTTCTTCTTCACATGAGCCTCTGTGCAGTAGGACACTGAATGCTGATGTTGCACACTCCCAGATAAACAGTTTCCATCGCTCTTAACAACTCTATTTTCTGATTCAGTGCTAAGAGAAGAAGGCAAGCCCCCCACTAACCTATTGTGTGATATGTCAACAAATCTAAGTTGGCTGCTACATATTAGGTGATCTTGGAGTGTCCCACCAAACATATTTGATGCCAAATTCAAGTAACTGATGTTAGGCAAAGAAAAAAGTTCAGCAGGAGCAGTGCCTGTGAGTGCATTGAAGGAAATATCAAGCTGTTGAAGCTTATTTAGTTGACCATATTGCTTTGGAATTTGACCTGAGAAGGAGTTTATACTGAGGAAAAGCCTGATCAACCCTTTAGGCATTGCAGGTAGTTCAGAGTCTAATCTGTTTTCCCTTAAATCTAGCTGTTCCAAGCTACTCAAACCAGTGAAATCTTGCAAGCTTCCTGATATTTGATTGCTTGACATGTCAATGTCAGTGAGGGTAGTGATGCTAAGGATTGAAGGTGGAAATGGACCCTTCAACCTGTTATTCTTCAAACTAAGAACAATAAGATTACTTGATGAATTGAACAAGCTGGGTATGGTACCATTGAAGAAATTATCACCCAATCTAAGAGTTTGAAGGTTCACCATTGTGGAAATCTTTGGAGGGATTGATCCATACAGATAGTTAGAATTCAAGTCCAAGTGTTCAAGTGCAAAAAGCCGGTGAATACTATTAGGGAGTGGTCCCCAAATACCCAAAGAGATGAGACGAAGAACTCTCAGGCTAGTTAACCTTGCTAAAGTAGCCACAAAAGAGTCCATGGAGAAGCTTTGTGATAGTGTTTGATTTGGAATAGCAAACCCATCAAAATCTCTATCCTTAGTTGGTTTATCACCCAAGATGGTGAGTTCAGTAACAAAATTGTCCTTGCATGTGAGGTTTACTTGTGTAGAAGAAGGTATAGAGCAAAGTTCTGTCCAACGATCTTTCCATATTTCCAACTGTTTTGGGTACTCCAATTGCTTTTTCAACTGGAGAAGAACTTGGGTCTGAGAGGGTTGCAATTGAGCACTGCAACTACCCACATAAAAGACACACCAAGTAGAACATAATAGCAAAACCAAGTCATGGAACCCCATGAGAAATTTCTATACTTCTACTTGCAGTGCTTCAAGGAGGAGCAACTAGCACATATAAAGAACACACTGGAAAACCTGTCTTAATTAAATGGAAAAGAAGTTCCATTAATATAGTTGAAAACTTGAAAAAAGACCAACCCATAATAATGTTAATAATAATAATAATAATGCGAGGATGACTTACATAGACACTAAAATTAACTACAACATGTAAGCTTAAAGAGATATCTCTCATAATTTGAATTGTTAAATAGAGGTAGTTGTGCAAACATTAAAGCAAGATAAGCATTGGCTATGAATGAAGGAAAAGAAGTAGTATGAGGGTAAAGAAAAAGAGAAAATTTAATAATACTAATACCTGTGCAAAGCTCTATCTTGTTGTGGATATTTGAGTAAATCAATAAACAAAAGAAAGACCAAGTTGTGGTCTTTGCTCGGAATCCAAGATTCCAAAGTGGGGTACCTGAAGTTAATGCATTTACTGCTTCCACATGGTGCTCTTTCCTGTTATGCTCTTTCTCCAGCAAATAGCAATAATGGGGGTGGCTTTGCCCACTAGCTAGAGGAAAAAAGGTAAATAGGCCAGGTTCTGATGAAAGAAGAACATTTATGAAGACAAGAAACCAAGTACCAACTTTGTATTGTATACGATTCTGTTCTTTCTTTCCAATGGATGCTATTTCAGATCATGTTCAAGTTAGTACAGACACATATCCAAGCTTCTTTAGTTCAACTGGGGTGATTTCAAATTCAACTCTCTAGTTCGGTGAAGAAACTAAATATTGGTGAAAACAGTGGATTTTTGGGTAAGATCTCGTAAGTCCTAACCTATAATTAATATTTAAAGCTTCAATCTTGAACCATCGTGAATGGAATTGCATATGTGGTTTATAAAAAAAATAACCATGGAATATAAATTATTAAGAACAGAAGACAAACAAACAAAAAAAAAACATGGTTGATGGGTCATACATTTTATACATTTTTGGTATGAATCTAACAAACTTGAGGTGCCATACCGGGGACCCCACAATCATTGTAAAAGAATGTCTACATCCATCATTGATTTTCACTTGCTGTTTTTTGCATTACTTGGGAACTAATGCACTTAGCCTTCACCTTGGGAATTGTTTGTGTTTTTAGCTAATGAAAACTTCATGTTACCATATCTGTGTTCTCCTCTCTCTTCCTGTCCTTCACTTTAGCTTAGGTAATAATTTAAAGATTATTCACACTGATAATTTAAATTGAAAAGTAAATTATAAGCGAAGTACTTTTTGTAAAGAAGCATTGTTAAGAAGAAGCATTTTTTTAGTACATGAATAAATACTCTTTTACTAAAAATAGTGTAGAATAGATAAAGTTTATTATATTATTTTTTAATGATATATTGAATTTTAATATTAGAGAGTACAAAAAATATTTTCGTTTCGAGTGAAAAAGCCTCGAGTACAATGTAATAAAAAATAAAATTAATATTTCTTTGCTAATTTTTTTTTTCTTTTGGTAAAATATTCTTTGCTAATTTAATTAAAATATACATATATCACAAAATATCTTACCCATAAAGGTTAAAGATATAAAATATCATTTAATTTGAAGAAATTTAAGATTGTCGCCTCTCTTTCTAATATTAGGATTTAGGGTGTCGTTTGGTACACGGATTTTTCTTAGATTCTCGGAAAACTGAATTTTTTTAAATTTTAAATTTTCAGATATTATCGTAAACTAAATGTAAAAATTATATTTTTGAAAATTGAAATTTCCAGACAAATAAAAATTTCTCCTGTACCACACACTCCCTAGGAGAAAAAGGACAGTCTTCTAAAGGAGGGAGAAGAAACTAGAACTAAATTCCGTGGCTAGATACTCGTAACTCATAAGGGTGAAAAACTTCAATATAACGGAATATCGGTCTTTTATTAAAAAAGAAAAAGTTTTTAGAAGTTAAAAGAAATATTTAAAAAAAGGAGTAAATTTTGTTTTTCTTTTTTTAACAAAAGGAGCACCGAACTGCTAGCCGCATGCGTTCAAATTTTCAATGAGTAAGGATCCACGTCGAATCTTGACAGGCTGTCTCTGCAGTCTGCATACATATTAAAAAGCACAAAATACCTATTTGCCCATGATATGTACATACTTATATTATTAAATCTCTCCGCAAAAATATTTTTAAATCTATATAAAATATAAAAAAATTTAAAATTATAAAATATGCTTAATTAATTTAAATAAAAAATAAAAGTATAAATTAAAAAGTACTTAAATTATAAACAAAGTAAAACGAAGTGTTGTTTAAAAAAGTTAAAAGATTCATTTACTCTTAAATAATTTAAATTTAAATTTAAATTTAATATATAAGAACAGAAAAATGATATTTTATATCAACTTGTATTTGAGGAGATAAAAATTTCAGTCCTCCTATAATATATACTATATCTATTTAAATTACAACATAAATTTATGGTGGGTGCAATAACAATACTAAAAAATTCATACAATTTCAGGTAGCAATAACAAAAAGGTTACGGCACAGAACAGCCGCCTTTTAATCATTCTAATGCAATTTTAAAAATAAAATACTAAATTGATACAGAAACAAAATATTTTACCAAAATAATATAACAACATTGGCATGAGTCATGAGGTGTACGTGTGTTTAAGTGGCTTTTTAACCATCGTAGCTTTTAATTAACAATTAATTACCAATTCACCCTTCAACCAAAACACATCACCCATCTGTCATGTTTTATTGTACAGAACGTAATGAACTCAGGTACAGAGGTGGTTACTTGGTTATAATTTGAAAATTTTACCCTACCCCGGTAGTAAAGGGGATACCCAGGTAAATTTCGCGGGTAGAGTTTTTAAATAACCTACCAGCCCCCATTTGGAAAACCCACAAAAGGGTACCCGGGTAGAGCTGCTAGAATTGTGCAATCTTCATTTCCCACACCAAATCTTCCTGAAATTCTTCCTTTTTCTGATCATTAGTTCGCGCACCACACATTGCTACCTTGTACCAATTCAATTCCATTAAAGGTACATTTTTTTTTCCTTTTTAACAATTGGGTTCTGATTTTGATATGTTTGTCACATTGTTGTTAAAAATTATTGCGTTTTTTTAGTTTGCATGGTTAAACATTGGATTCTGACCCTTTAATTTTTAAAAGTACTAACTGTATCCCTAACCCTAACACTAACCCTAACCCTAACAATTATGTTTCTGCTTTCTGATTTTGCCTTTTTTTTCTTCAGTTTCATAGTGTGACTGAATGGCTTCTAGACGCGTTTCAAAGATGACGGTGGGGGATACCGAGAGGAGGACCAAGCGTTGACACGATGGGTCATCATCCTCTCAGCCCCAGGCTGCTATGCATCAGGCTCCGGACTTGCCGTTCAGATATTTGTTTGAGGATGACAGTGATGCACACGAGAGGTTTGTGAAGTCGTTCATGAGCCGCAAGATTTGCGAGTCGAAATCATTGGATTCGGCCTTCTTCAACTTGGAGCGTTTTGACATTGTGCCACTTCTTCAGCAGACACATTTTCTTGTGCTTGCGGAGATGAGGTGCCCGTACTCGGAGGCTATGGTGAGAGCATTCTACCAGAACCTCAACTATGTGCATGGTGAGCTGACTTCCCGTGTCTGCGGGATTGATATCATCCTTACTGCTCCTATCTGGATAGAGCTACTGGGGTTCAACTTTGATGGTCTCACAGGTGCAGCACTATATGACGGAGACAACCATCATATATTTGGTGGTTATGATCGGGAGGCCATTGTTGCAGAGACCAGGAGAGCAGATGCTGAGGTCGAACAATTTGCTCATTATCTTGTGAGCAATTTGTCGGTGTCTGCTCATTCTTCATTATGTGGTCACACACATTATTTTCTAGCATGGTCATAATCGCTCAAAGGTGCTGGAAGGTGACTTTGTGATCTTGTGGGCCCTCCTTCACAATATTCAGGTGAACTGGAGGCACTACATATGCATCATAATAAGGAACGTTGCCAAGTCAAGGAAGACTGAATTTCCTTTTGCATTCCTGGTGCAGAAGATTTTGCACAGATTTGGTGTGCCTATAGAAACAGAGACGCTGAAGACAGCCGCAGGATGGAATGCGATATTTGGTGAGCGTCTCCTGAAGCAGTGTGGGATCATGCAGAGTCGAGCGGGTACCTGGTATTGGAAGATGGCACCTAAACCACCTGAGATCCCCCTCCACCACGATGCTGAGATGGAGGATGCGCCTGCAGGTGATGTATTTTGGGTTAATGAATGCATTATGGTTAAAATTTTACATAACATAATAATAACAAGTGCTTATCATGGTGTTGATGCAGGCCTTGATGACGATGACGATGATGACGGCGCTGCTGCTGTTGATGATGCACCGACGATGGATAGCTCCTTGAGGGTGGATGGATAGCTCCTGAGGGTGGATGGACACTTGATCATGTCATGACATCCATGTATAGCCTGACATGTGGCCTTGACTCCTTGACCAGTGAGTTTAGGGGCTATAGACAGAGCACAAGCAAGTGGCGGACCCAGATTGACAGTAGGGTTACACGCCTGGAGGCTGGGTACATACAGGGTGCCCACACTAGTGTGGAGGCTGATGTTGCTGTTGAGGATGACGATGATGAGAAGGAGGACGATGATGATGAGGAGGAGACGCAATCGGATTCCAGCCAGTAGGGTATTATAGGAGGATGGTTGATTTTTCTGGATGTATTTTGGGTTAGCAGGGTGTATTTTGGGTTTAGAGTGAATGTATTCAGCCCATTTTTGGATGTATTGGGCTGTATCGTGGATGTAATCCTGACAAAATTGTGTACTTGGATGTCCACCGTTTGAATGAAATACAGATTGTATATTTTGCACATTTAGAACTTTATCTTTATTGCACGGTTATTGTATTGTCTATTTTTTAAAGCTGATGTCCACATTCAGAATGAAATACACCTTGAAGATGTTTTGTCTAATTCGAAA